CCCCCCCCCGTACCCCCCCCCCCCCCCCCCCGGGGGAAAAGAAGAAATCACAAACCACTCGAACCATTTATGATACCATTAGCAGCGTGCAAATGAAAACTTAACGGATGTGTTTGATGACCTTGGAATTCAAATCTTCTTCTTGACATTCTTAGTAGCTTTGATTAAATGTTTTCTCATTGTTTTTTAAATTATCACCAAGTATGGTATAGTTGGGGATGCAAATTGGACACATTTTACCATATTCATGAAGAGGAATTTGAGAGCTTTAGATGAGGTTTCAATGAGTTGCTGTTGTTTCTGTCATTAGGCTATGCCTCATGGTTATCCAAATTGGTTTGAAATCTTTACATCAACTTCATATACGATTATCGCCTTGTGATTAAGATTTGTGATTCCTTCATACTTTGGAAACAAGTTCCATTGGCTGTTAAAGGAATCCAAAATATTTTGATGGTTAGCTTTATTTCTCATTGTTCATTTGAAGGATATCAACTCAATCATTTTCTTGTCCAATAGATAATTCAACTTCCATGTAGGGATGACAACATTGTGGATGCATTTGCTTGACTGGTTTGAAATTACTTTGTCATACCACTAGGTTCACTATGCAAAAAATTGGTACTACTGTAGTTCCCATACCACTTCAAAACTCAAATTTAGCGGCAATAGTGGACCAAGGATTTCAAGAAGATAGTTGCACAACTACCTTTAATAAAGATGGTTATATGGAATCTAATGGCAACTAAAACAAAACCGGTAGCTATAATTAGTTGATACTATCATCTCAATAAACTATAATATAGTTTACAATAAGTGGTTAGAAGTTTATTCGTGTACAGCCACTAAGAAACAAGAGCTGGTATTGTTTGGTATATTTGAAATTATGTTGAAGCTTTTGTTTGACTTCAAGTCTCGCAAACATGAAGTTGATCAAGAAAATGAAGGTCTGAAAGAACTTTAGATCATCATTACTGAATCTAACAAGTAAAACTTAAATTTAAAGAAAAGTGATATATGTATAGGCAGCTCGATGCACAAAGCATCCTGCATTCACGCAGGGTTGGGGGAAGGGCCGTACTTAAGGGACGTGATGTAGAGAGCTTACCCTATGCAAGCATTAGTGGCTGCTTCCACACCTCCAACCCGTGACCTATAAGTCAGATGGAGACAACTTTGTCGTTGCTCCAAGGCTCCCATCAAAAAAACTATATATGTATAGTATATGAAATCTTGAAGAGGATCATCTCTTGGTTAGTAAAATCTACATATTCCAATCTTGAATTAAATGAAATTTGAGCACGGGTACAATACTTTTTCTACTGACCAGGTTTATGAATAAGTTTTACTTGTTGAAAGTGAAATCAAATGCTCATAATAGGGGTGACTATTTAAAGCTAGATTGAGAAAATAGATCAAGTTGAGCAAAATAGTGTAAAGTTATAGAACTACTTGTTTTGTACAAATAATCAAATGGCTGCTCCTTAATTTATTTCCTTTTTCCCCGTGATTTCTTTTGATCCTCTGTTTCCCTATTTCCTGTATCGTAGTTTGTATTATGAAACAATTATGATTACGAAAAAGATTTGGGAGCTTTATATGTTCATAGTAATCTCTAGTTTTGCTTTTTATGTTATGGAACAGGTTAAACCATGGTTAATTGTTAGGAACAGGTGTACTATTTTACGGAAAATTTCTTGGTGACAATATGCAGTGCTCATTCCTTTTATACTTTGCGTTACAGGGTTTTGCCCAACATCAATATAATTATTTACCTTGTCAGATAAAGAAAAAAGAATAAAAAATAATAGTATGATGCTTGTTAAACATTAGCATTTTCTGATTCTTAACCATGTACATTGTTAGTAGGTGCTTTTTGGGTAATTAACACCTTTTGAGTACATGCAGACGGATTGGGAAGGCGGTTTTTATCCGGTTACAATACACTTCAGTGAAGATTATCCTAGCAAACCACCTAAGTGCAAATTCCCACAAGGCTTCTTCCATCCGAATGTGTATCCATCAGGAACAGTTTGCTTGTCGATCCTCAACGAAGATAGCGTATGTGGAGTGTGCCATTTATCTGTATTATTTTCCTTCTTGTTGTCTCTGTTTACTAATATGACGGCTGTTAATTTTGTGTTTATCATGGATAGGGGTGGAGACCAGCCATTACAGTGAAACAGATACTGGTTGGTATCCAAGACTTGTTAGATCAGCCAAACCCTGCTGATCCTGCCCAAACTGAAGGGTATCATCTCTTTATTCAGGTAATTTGATTTCGTCAAATCAAATTTTTTTGCCTTTGCCAAATCACTTGTCTTACCCTCAATTCTTAATATTTCCAAAAAATTTGACATTGCCAAAAAGGTGCAACTAGACACTTTTAAAGCTTCAAGAATGGACCCATTTTTCATTATAATACACTAAATTTTCAAACTTCACATTGACACTCATGGAGGGTCGTCAGATGAGGTAGTTTAAAAGGGGATAGATGGACTACTAATTTAACCATGGTGAGTTGAGTCGAGTCCACTTAGCATGGGATAGAGGAGTATTATTCTCATGACTTACAAAGTTGGCAAGATTAGCAGTGCTTCAGCTTCGTTATGTCACAATAAAAATCCTATCACCTATGCATTGAACATAAAAGTGTAGATCTGGCTTTTATTGGTGGTTATCCTATCACCTCGAGTCTCACCGCCACTGATTTATCAAAAAAAAATATTAATTTTCACGTGCTTGGGCGGTGAAAAAAGAAACGAGGCTCACACGTGAGGGGTCACGTAGAAGATTAAATTAAGTGTTTAAAAGTTTGCTCTCTCTAGCAGTTTAAGCTTGTAAATGAGATGATTGATCATGGATGAGTTTATGCAGGATGCTATTGAGTACAAGAAGCGGGTTAGGCTGCAGGCCAAGCAGTATCCACCTCTGGTGTAGTCTAAATAATGTTCGTATGCGTATCGTGGTTCTAATGCAACTTCAAACTATGGTATTCATAGCCTGCTGATAGGTGACAATCTTCTGGCAAATGATGCTGACTTGGTTTTTGTTGCAGTGGCAAAGTAAAACATTATAGTTGGAAATTATACCTGATTCTGCTTCTCATTGTTCTCAATCATCATGTGTATAACAAGCGGAAGCTAGAGTTGTTTCGGACAGTGGAAACATGTCGACATTGTTATTTTCGTTCCTGAAATAAGAGTTCATTTACTATATCTAATTTCTTCCGCATTATACACTGTGCTTTTGGTCGCAAGTCAGTTCCCTTTTCTTTTGATTTAACTTATATATCTGTCTAATTTAGTTTGTTATAGCAGGTTTTTTGCGTCTAGGTTACTAGTCCACTTATTATGGATAGTTACCACTTGCCTGTAGTTATTTTTTAGGTAAAATTTCTTTTAAACTGTTGGTGCATAGAAGTCAAAACTTTCTTTTGTACCTTTTTATGATTAAAAAGGAAATTATTTTCCACAGTTCCTTTTGTGAGTGGAAACTATCAAGATACATTGTTAAGTGACGATTTCTTTGCATTTTAGTCCTATTAGGGAGCTCATTATTTGTTCTCGCAATCAGGGATGATTAATTTGCATTTATTTACTTTTTTTTTGGTTGTTTTGATAAATATTATTAAGGTGAAAGCTGTTTCTTGTAAAGCTAAATTGAGTATGTTAGCACATAAAGATTCTTGAGCCTAGGGAGCTACTTAACTGCGTAATCTTTCGTAAAAATAGTAGTATATGATTTCTCACGGTTTACAATGGCTCAAAGGTTTTTTTAACTTGCTGGTTGTTGGCAGTTTATAACGTTCCATATAAGTTGCATGAGGATATTTAACGAGTATAACATTTTGGACTATTCCAATTCATACCTTTAAGCTTTTTAGTTTGACACTTGCAAATTTTCATATTGAAAGTTTGGTAAACTTGTTCATAAATAGACCCTCACCTTCTTCTATTTCGGGCGTCGCTCTTTCTACTAAGTACGTCAGTCTTCAAGTGCATAAAACTAAAATTCTTTTTTATAATGTCGATGTGCCACCTTAGTAAAAGGCAATGACATATCTATTTTCATTTACTAGATTGTAAGGAAGAGACATACAAATGAGTTCATCGTATGATCCTTGACACTTTGAATCGATCACCTCCTCATTTCAAAAGTAATGAATATTCACTATGAGCATCCCTTGTGCTATTCTCCACTATTGTCCTATCAACAATTTTCTTTGGACCATGAAATATTAGCAGGCATCGTCGCAAGGCGTGTTAAAAGAATACTATTAAACAGCTGGAAATACAAGTGGAAAGCAATTATGAAGTTGATGGGCCACTACATTAGTTCTAAACATGCACTTAGAACTCTACCACAGAAATCTCCCAAAGAATCAGTTCAGAACGAAATTTGAAATACAATAATTCGGGAGTTCAAGTTTCGTCCTCATAGAATACAACAGATTAGTACACAAAATTTGAGCACAAAGGGTTAAGATACATTTTTACCTGCTATTTTGGCCAATCCTAGTGAGGAAAACAATCTCTAATTTTGCTTTACCAGCAATCAATCTGGAAAAAAGAATGACAGGATCTATTTTGCATTTCACTTAGGTAGCATCCGACTTACAGACAGGAATAATTTATGCCACGTGTCCATTTGAAGATGCTGCTTCCTCCCGGGTCTCCTTCACATAAAGTGGTATGCTCACCCCAAGTTCCCTTAATCGATTTACCAGGTCATAAAGAAATTCAAAGGTGAGTTTGGATTGTTTGTTAAAATCCTCTCTGACGCTTGGCTGGATCTTAAACCAATCTCCCAACATCTTGTGCACATGGGAGCGGATCATTCTCCATGGCACTGGATATCTCTCACATAACTCCAAATATTCTTTGAGTAACTCAGCCTGGTCTAACTTACCATCTTCCCTGATTCCTGCACTGCCCAATCCCCATTCAGCAGTTCGATATCCTGCAAACAGTGCTGGATTTTCAAGAAGAGACTCTGCCGACAGTACCCCATCAGCACCAGTCTCATCCAAGCAGTTCTGTACATCATCCATGTGCCGTATATCACCATTAGCAAGGACAGGAATTCTAACAACGTTTCTAACAGCCTTGATGGCCTCCCAATTGGCTCTGAATTTCTTTCCATCTTTTTCATCCCTTGTTCGGCCATGCACCGCTAAAAGAGAACAACCAGCTTCCTCTAACATCTTTGCATAACTAAGTGTATCTTGCAAATTTGGGAAAATTCTGATTTTGCATGACACTGGAACATTAAGATTGTTAGCCAGCTTTTCTACCAGAGACTTGACAAGAGGAAGATTATCCATGAGGAATGCACCATAATTCCCTCGCCTTGCAATGCGCTGGGGACACCTGTATGGAAAGTACAAGTTAAGCCAACTGAACTGATAAAGAAGCATGGCAAAATGATCTGATCCAGTACAAATAGTGACACACAAACCACTGTAATATGCATAAAGCAGTCTAATAAGAAATGCAGAAAGGAAAAAAAACTCACATTCAAAAGGGGTTGCTAATCTTTGACCTGGAAGAAAATCTGTTTTGTCCCAAAGCTCTTACTCCACGATTAAAAGGAGTTGTTTTACCGTAAGATAAACTCAAGAGCAAGTGAAACAGAGGCAAGAGAACCAGATACTGTCTACTGCTCACGTATTGGAGCTTGTTTCATGATCTTCACTCCTGTAAAACCTATTTCAACTTATCGAAGTTGCTCTTCAGGTTTGGTATTGTATTGTGGACTCATTTTGGTACTTGTTTTAAAAGTATACCAAGGCTGGATAACAGCCCAGCATTTGGTACAGACATGGAGTCCACATTATTAATGTGGAGTATTAGCAGTATGACATCAGTTAGTAGTGTTACTACTGATCCCCTGGTTAAGACCTTATAAGGATTAAAATGCCCTTCCTTACAAACTAATTTATTTTATTAGTTGAAGGCAATTCGGTCTTAATACAGTGCTGTCGAGGTTCACTTAAACCCTGAAGCTAGGTGCAAAATAGACTGCAAAATAGCATAAGGTGGGGATGCTATTAGGAAGCCAGCAAGGAAATAGTTGCTTCAGGGAGTAGAAATGGGTGGAAGCAAAGGAGAGTAATGGATATTGGATAATGATGGCATCTAGTGTTCTTACCACAAAAATAATGCTCATGAACTGACCTTATTGTGCCTCACTGAATTGCAAGTTGCAAGTAGAGCGTACAATGTAGAAACATTGTCTCAAGCAAACAGAGTTCCAGTTCTTGAGAACCTTCTACAGAATTCAATATGGTAATTGGTATCCTAATCCTTAATCCCTTGGTGAAGTTAAAATTTTTTATTCAAACTTCAAATAAGGTAAAGATATCTCTTTCTTCAAGCACAGTATATTGTTTCTTTCCATAGAGTCTTTTGATGTCATCGAATACAATTGCCAACAATTAAAGCTGCTGGAAACGGCTACTGAAATTTAGGAACACAATATCCACCGTAATCAATAAGAAGTCCTAAGTTTGGACAGAGGAAAAGATTGAGAAAGGAGGCTACCCCAAGTTGATGTCCACATAGTCACAATAAGGTTCTACTCTTCGAGCTGCTTCTAGCAAAATGTCTGGATCATTTGCGCAGAATTGAACAAAAAGTGGACGGTCCTCCTGCAATTTCCAAAAAGAGAACAGGATAAACTAAGATATCAGGGCCTTGAAGTGTACAAAATGTTCCAAAATATAAGCCAAAAAAGGTAAGCAAGAACTTGACAATACAAAGTAAATTCTGGAAGTAAAATGTAATTTTGTACCATGTTTTAGTTAAGAACATAGTGAATAATTCTCATCTAAAGCAACTTAAGTAAATAAAAATGAAACTTTTGACAAAAACTAACCAACAGTAATAAGCATTTCAAAAAAGCCTACAAGGTGAAAAAATGTTGACATGTGTAGCCTTAGAACAATAAAAAATTAAGAACTTAGTCAGACATATTCAAATGCATTGAGGTATGAATGAAAAAACGACAACTATGCCTCTGTTCCAAGCAAGTTGGGGTCACGTTCTCCATTTAAACTCATCTAAAAACCAACAAGGCAACAAAGGAAACAGCACCGAAAATGCATCTTTTTTCTTTTGGAAACATTTTACAAGGGCTATTGGAAACAACCTCTCTATCCTCACAAGGTAGGGGTAAGGTCTGCGTACACACTACCCTCCCCAGACCCCACGGTGTGGGATGATACTGGGTATGTTGTTGTTGTTGTAAACATTTTACAAGGGGAAGAGGCACAATCATAGATAACTGAGTAAATCAAATCACCCCACCCTTCTAAAAAATTTAAAAGGACAAAAAAACAGTTACTTTAACGTAAACAAACAACTTCAACAACTATGCAGCTAGTTAGGGTAGCTATATAAATCCTCTATCTGCATCCATCTTCTTTCATTCTTATACTCAATAATTTGAGACAACTTACAAGTTATCAGAAACTATGAACTCTCTGAATGTGGCATTTTTCCCATGGTAAAGGTTACTCTAAAGTAAAACTAACAAAAATCCCAGTGCCAAAGTCTTTACATATCTTAATTTCCATACAACAATGAAAAGCATATAATCACTTCGTCCAATTTATATGACACACTTTTAGTCTGTCTAAAAGTAATAACTTTCTATATTTAAACCCAACTTAACTATAAACTGTTCATTATAATCTTAATGATATATTTATAGCCAAACAAATATCTACAGTTTGTTTCAAACCATAAGTTTCAAAAGTATTTCTTATTTGCTTAAACTCCATGCTAGTATTACACCCCGTATCCCAATTTATGTGATGCACTTTCCTTTTCAGTCTGTCCCAGATACGTCCAAACAATTTAATGGTAAATTTTCCATTTTAATGTTACTAGTTACTTATTTTAAACCACAAGTTTCAAAAAGTCTTTCTTTCTTAAAATCCATAGCTAGTCAAACATTATGACATAAAATTGGGACAGAGGGAGTACCTTGCAGGTAGTAAATTCAAGAGAGCGATACTTCTCAGTTTCACTGAAAATTCGGGAGTGAAGCATAGGCGTATAAGCAGCTTCAGCACCATACTTTCGACACAGCATACGAAATGGAAGCTCCGAGTTATCCACCATCGGCGCAACTATAAGTTTCGGCTCTCCTAGCTTCTTCCAGTGAGCCCACGCTCTCTCAATCCGCGATTCCCCTTTCAAGTACCCGTTCGCACGATTCAGTTCAAATAACTGCGGCGCATTTCCTTCTTGTGAAGTAATGGTGGCGGCGGAGCAGAGGCGGTCGTCGTCGTCGTTGAATTCGTCGTTAGGGTTTTGTGTGGAGGAGGTGTTTAAGGTTTGAGTGGCCATTGAAAGGTTTTTGTAGAGAGATGTGTGGTGGTTGACGAGGGAATTCGTAGAGAGAAGTTTCAATTTGAATCTCATGAGGAGGCAATGGGAACGGCTACGGCTGCGCCACCCATCGCCGCTGTAGCGGTTGAGGGTTGGTTGAGGAAGGCGGTTTAAAGGAGCGGGATATTGTGCTCAGTGCGATATGAAATCGGCGGAGGCCTGGGTCCATTTCAGGCCCAATTGATTGAACTCAAATGGGATTTTTTCGGCCAAATAGCACGGGCTAGCCAGTCTTCGCACTGATCATTTAAAAATAGTTAGCATTTGTAAAGTCATTGAAAAATAGCCACTATTTGCTGTAGCACAGAAAGTTCCAGTATAGTATACTGGAGATTGGTGCACCTGTGCATGAACTTCCAACATATTATGCTGGAACTCCAACACGCGGAAAGTTTCAACATAATATATTGAAGGTTGGAGCACCTGTGTATGAACTTCAACCATATTATGCTGGACCGATATATTATACTGGAACTCCAGTATATTATAGTGAAAATTCAGTATATTATATTGGAGTGAGTATTTTCCAGATTTTGAACAGTGTTTTGTTCAGATTTATCTTTACATGAAAAGTGGCTAAATTTCGATTACTTTTGAAATTATGGCTATTTTTAAATGACCACTTATAAATCTGGCTATTTTTGAATTTCTCCCATAAAAAGGCTTAGCCGAACAATCGGACCAAGTACACGAGAGGCCCATTCATCTTTAACTATACTGCCATCATCCTCAACTTTCATCAATTCCCCAATCTTTTGGAATACAGTTCTTTTTGGGTTTCTCCTCCTTTTTGTTTCGTTTTCGTTTCGTTTTGTTCTTGTTTTGTTTTTGGGAAAACAAAATATAATTCCTTGTTTTTGTTTTTGTTTTTGTTTTTGTTCTTGTTTTTCTTTTTTGGGAAACAAAATATAATTCCAAAAGTAAATTATTGTTTTATTCAAAAAAGTTGTTTTTATACAGAATCTATTTTGTAAGTTACATTAGTACTACTAGCCAACTTGGCCAAGCTTCCCAAAATATGCTTATTGTTGAAAATGCTTTTGTCAGAAGTACCGTTCGAAAAAGTACTTTTCACTACAAGAAAATGATGTATTAGATGGGAATTTTGTTGGGGATTATATAAGAGAATTTGCAGGAAACTAAGCGGATTTTCCTTCTGAAAAAATTCCGATGGAAAAACCTTCGTAGGTAACTATTACCTGGGAATTTTAAAAGTCCCCAGGTAATTTACTCGGGAATTTTGAATCCGCATAAAAATTACCCGGGGTTTTAAATTCACATGTAAATTACCTGCGAATTTTTCCATAGAAAATTCTAGATATTCGCATGAAATTTTTGGTAGAAAACTAATGAAACTTGGGATTTTCTGGCGGAGTTTGCTAGGGAAATAGCCCATGAAAATTTCCAAGTGCATGTGTCGAAATTTTAGACGAAAATTTATAATTGCTATATTTTTATATATTTGTATATACTAGACATTCCCCACCTACGGACAAGATATATATGATAAATGATGAAAAGTGCATATTTTTGAGTATATTTGCATATTAATTCTTGTGTGTGTCGCGGGAGATTACATAATTTTCAAAGTGAAATATACTCATTATGTGTTTCTTATGTGTAGGAACGAGTTTGGATGATAAATGATCAAAAGATGATAATTCGACACAAAAAGNAAGTTTCAAATGACAAATAAGGATATGAATAGATTTACTTAAAAGTTAATATTATAAGTAAATAAATAACCTCAAAATTTATTATTCTAATTAAATATTATTATTTTATTAAATAAAATGTAAAAATAAAATAAAAAAGTACTATAATTCTTTTAAGATGATTTAAATATGTTAAAAATTACACAACAAATATAAAAACATTCACTCCCTAAGTCACTATATATTAGAAAGCTATCCTAAAAATAAGAAGAAATACTTGTATATTAATATTTTAAATATTAGGTTTAAAAGTAAGATTATTTTGGTATATACTATATTTTGTTAAGGGTATTTTTGGTAAGAAGAAAAGTCAAAGCTACTTCTGCTTCTGGGGAGAAACTACTTTTTTCTACTTCTCAGAAGCTGCTTCTGCTTCTTCTCAAAAGTACTTTTTTTCTTTCAAAAAGCTTGGCCAAACACCTTAATAGCCTGTTTGGACAAGCTTTTTTCTTGGCCAAAAGTTTTTTTTTTTGGTCAAAAGTGTTTTTTCTCCTCAAAGTTAAGGTGTTTGGCCAAGCTTTTTGAAGGGAAAAAAGTGCTTTTGAGTAGAAGTAGAAGCAGGAAAAAGTAGCTTCTCCCTAGAAGCACTTTTATGAAAAGCATTTTTGAGAAAAATACACTTAGAAGTACTTTTTAAAACCTTGGCCAAATACTAATTGCTGCTCAAAAGTGCTTTTCAAATTAATTAGCCAAACACAAACTGATTCTCACAAAAAGTACTTTCTTGAAAAATATTTTTGAGAAAAAAACTTCTCAAAATAAGTAGATTTTAGAAGCTTGGCTAAATAGGCTATAAGTTGAGAATAAAAGAACTTTGGGAAAAAAGCACTATTGATTTTTGGAGAAGCTTGGCCAAACAGGCTATTGTCTTCTGGCTTAAGTCAAAATTCACCTCAGTCTGAAACTCGAACTCTAGATATAATAGTGGTCGAGTCAATTATATGAAAAGTTCTAGAGATGGATGCATGGAGAAAACCAGACCGTAAAGGCTGAGTCAATTATATGAAGGGGTAGTAGTAGTGGGGAGGGACATAGCTAGGTTGAGAAATTTGAAGTGCAATTCCATGAGCCCGTTTGGCGTAGCTGATTTAGAGTAGCTGATAAGTATTAAGTGCTGAAAAGCATTTTTAGGTGCTGAAACTAATTTAGAAAATAAGCAGTTACGTGTTTGGATAAAAGTGCTGAAATTAATAATATGCAGCTGAAGAACTGGGTATACGAAGAGTTTTGTTTTAAAAAAAAAAGTATTTTAGGGATAGAATAGTAAATATTTTGGTCAAACTTAAAGTACTTATAAGCTGAAATTTGATAAGTTGGGGGAGACCAACTTATGGCTTTTGGCTTATTTTTAGCTTATAAGCACTTAACTTGTAAGCACTTTTAATTTTACCAAACGTGAAGATAAGCCAAAAGTGCTTATAAGCCAGTATGACCAGCTTATAAGCTTAGCCAAACACCCTCCGTATCAGATGTCCTCCCATATAGTAGAAGGGAGACAATAAAAAGGAGAAACGTTGACGCTGTAAGTAGTTCATCATCTGAAGGGAAAAAATAAGCGGCGCATCATGAAATGAAAGTATACAACAATAACAACAACAACAATGACAATATACCTAGTATTATCGCACACCGTGGGGTCTGGGGAGGGTAGTGTGTACTCAGACCTTACCCCTACCTTGTGAGGATAGAGAGGTTATTTTCAATAGACCCTCAGCTCAGGACATAATCTCCACATTAATGAAAATATAGACAAGAAGGGATAGTACCACAAAGCCATATAAAAGCAGAATAAAAATAACAAGATAGTAAGGTGATCAACAATGAAAGAAAACAACGGTTAGTCATAAAAACCTACTACCAACAGAAAGCGAGAGTTCATGCCAATACTACCGTTATGAACACTCTAGACTACCTACTCTACTACCCTAATCCTCGACCTCTATACCTTCCTACTAAGGGTCATGTCCTCGGTCAGCTGAAGCTGTGCCATGTCTTGCCTAATCACCTCTCCCCACTTCTAATTTGGTCTACCTCTACCTCTCCGTAGTCCCTCCAATGTCAACCTCTCACACCTCCTCACCAGGGCGTCTGTGCTCCTCCTCCCCACATGCCCAAACTACCTAAGCAGCGTTTCCCGCATCTTGTCCTCAATAGGGGCCAAACCCACCTTATCACGAATAACCTCATTTCTGATCCTATCTAACCTGGTGTGCCTGCATATCCATCACAACATCCTCATCTCTGCTACCTTCCTCTTCTGAGCATGAGCAATCTTGACTGGCCAACACTCCGTCCCACACAACATCGTTGATCTAACCACCACTCCGTAGAACTTACCCTTAATTTTTGGTGGTACCTTCTTGTTACACAAAACACCAAAAACGAGTCTCCATTTCATTCATCCCGCCCCAATACGATGTGTGACATCTTTATCAATCTCCCCATCCCCCTAAATAATAGACCCAAGGTACTTAAAACTCCCTCTCCTAGGGATGACCTGCGAGTCAAGCCTCACCTCCCCTTCCCCTCATTGAGTCTCGCCACTGAACTTACACTCCAAGTATTCTGTCTTGGTCCTGATTAACTTGAAACCTTAGATTCCGGGGTCTGCCTCCATACCTCTAATTGCGCGTTCACACCGTCTCGTGTCCCGTCAATCAATGCAACATCATCTGCAAATAGCATGCACCAGGCACCTCCCCTTGGATGTGGCGCATTAGTACGTCCATCACCAAAGCAAACAAAAAAGGGATGAGTGCCGACCCCTGATGCAACCCCATCATAACCGGAAAATGGTCCGAGTCCCCACCCACTATCCTCACTCGGGTTTTTATTCCATCATACATGTCCTTAATTAACCTAACGTAGGCAACATTTACTCCTCTAGCCTCCAAACATCTCCAAAAAAACCTCCCTCAGAACTTTATCATACGCCTTTTCTAAATTGATGAACACCATATGCAAATCCTTCTTTCTCTCCCTATACTGCTCCATCAATCTCCTAACAAGGTGGTTGGCTTCTGTAGTCAAACGTCCCGGCATAAATCCAAACTGGTTCTCAAAATAGACACACTCCTCCTCACCCTCAGCTCTACCACGCTCTCCAGACTTTCATAGTATGGCTAAGCAGCTTGATACCGATAGTTATTGCAATTTTGGATATCACCGTTGTTTTTGTATACATGAACTGTCATGCTCCACCTCCACTCTTCGGGCATCTTCTTCGTTCTAAAAATGACATTAAATAACCTACTGAGCCACTCCAAGCCTGCCTTGCCCGCAGTTTTCCAAAACTCCACCGGGATTTCATCCCGTCCGATCGCTTTGCCCCTGCTCATCTTACGCATAGCCCCCTCAACTTCATAAACTTTAATCCGCCTACAATACCCAAACTCACAACGACTCATGGAGAGTTCCAAATCACCCAGTAAAATGCTCATGTCCCCTT